AATATCGCTGCAACAACGGCAATGTTTTTTAGTATGTTGAGATGCAGAAGCACCGCGGCAACATGTATTTTATATAATACAGCGGCGCGGCTGCTTTCGATTTTATACCACAGCGGCGCGGCAGCGGCAGGTTTTCAGCCGCGATGGACATCTCTGATAGAAAGTCGAAATTTGATTTTTTAGAAGTTTTCATTCTTTGTTCACAAGAAAATCTCTAATAACAGCGAAAATATAACAAAAAGTATTTTATATATTTGTAAAATAAATTGCAAAGAAATTTCGTTAAATGGTTGAAATATTCAATTGATCTTCTAAAATTAATCATCGTTCAGTTTTGTTCACAAATGTTTTTACGATTGATCCATGTTTGCAAATTTCAACAGCATTTGCTGTGAAAAACACCTTGATCAAGAAAATTTTTAATAAGATAATAAAAAACGTAATGCTGCTTGATCATAACCATATCGATATAAAATATATTTAAATAAAACAATTCAATTTCAATTATTTATTTATTTTCTAATATAAGAGAACATGATTTTCTTTGTTTAAAAGTCGAAGAAATGGATAGATATACCTTTCTATTAAGTTTTCTCTCTTGTGGATGGCGTCACAGTACAAAAACATTTAACAAAATCTTGAACAATTAAAGTATCATCTTCAAAAGTGAATTCGATGGAAAATGAACATCATATTCAAAGTGAGCATACAAAAATACACCAAAAATTCAATGTTTCATAGTAAGATATCTTATGAAAATTTTTTGCACTACTCCTCCTCAGTTTTTTATTTGAAAATTTTTTTTCTAAGCATCTACAAATGAAATATAAAGTTTTTGTTGTATTTTTAAATGATGATTCTAAATATGATGTCTTGTTTGATGGTTTAATATCGATATACCATTCAAAATAAAACAAAAACTAACATTTGAAAGAGGAATAGATCATTAAAAAAGCATTAATTCCTTTAAATATATTATTCTAATTAATAGAACAGATAAATGAACAACTAAAATTATTTTTACATTGGTTTTGATTGTATTCAAAACAAACAACATGAAAATGCTAATATAACAAGTAATTATTTAATTAAAGTTTCATAGTTGTAAATTCTGGTATTATTTTAATAAATAGTTCAATATCAAAATACATTGAACCAACAATATCCATAATATTATCATTTGCCATTTTTAAACATGTTCTTGATGGATAATTTGATTGATTAGATATTATATAACGAATATATGTTGTTGGAGTTCGAATATAATAAGCAGTTGTAATATTTGATAATAAAAATCATTGATCAACAGTTAATAATGAACTTGAATTACGAAGTAAATCAAGTGTATGAATAATAACTGGAGAAAAATGTTTTTTTTCTCATTTGAATTATTTTGTTTAATAAATGGTATTTTTTTTTCATTTTGGTATGTTGAGGTGAGAGTGGAGCACGAATTAATTCTTTCTGCATTCCAATAGCAAAAAAAAAGATATTTTTTAATCTAAAATATCGACATCTTTGCCGATTATTCACTGTTATATGACATTGTTCCACCGAAAGAACATCGTTGAGTAGATAAATAAGAAAATCCTTGAAAAAGTATTTACTAATTAACTCACTAAATCGAGTTGAATATTTCTACGAAAGAATATTTTACATGAATGACAACATTGAACACCATAATTCATGCTGCTATTTTGATCTTCACATACTTGACATATTTAAAATAAATCATTTTTTGTAATTTTATCAACATTAACTGGATTTGTTTCTATTGTTTTCAACAATTCCATCATGAGAAACTGAAAAATTTTGATTTTATTTAAATTTTTTTCTGTTTTTAATTTAGATTAATACAGAACTGTTTATATCTATCTGATTGATGAAATTCAAAAGAAATATTTACGATCTTTTTTAATAATATATTAGAAAACTACAAAAAACATCTTATTAAGAATAATAATAATAATAATAGAAAAAATGCTTCTATATTAAAGATCAGTTTTGTTTTTTCTTTCAAATCAATACATAAACATAAAATATTTCATAGAAAATACATATTAATTTGCAACATATTATCTTATGAACTAAAAGGTGAAATTCATCTCTCCTCTATGTTACCTGAAAAATTGCTGACAGATAGATTTTTTCTATAAAGATATTTTGTTAGAAAAAAAGTCTTAGTTTTTATTTCTTGTGTTCTTAGCTCTGATTTAATAAATGTATTAGCATGATGCACACTGTATTTTAATAGATTTTACTCTAGAAATCAATAAATAATGAACCATTCGGATAAATTTTGGATTACACACAGGTAACGATTAGTTGAAACATGTTTCTAGCAGTTGTATAAAACATATCGCTTCATAATGATAATGAGTGTATCATATTGATATATTAGTCTTCGTAAGGATTAATACCTGCGAAATAATCGTTCACCTATGTCAATGAGAGTGTATGAAGAGTTTTTGAAATGAGAACACTAGAACCTTTTCAATAATCTTCTTTTTTTTTTGACTCAATTTGCTCTCGTTAACCTTTCATTGAGATTGATAAGCAAAGAAAAGTACTGAAAAACAAGCGTTGAATGGAACTGATGCGATATATTATTTTTGTCCTTAAAACAGTTGTATAAGTTCATAATAAATAACATAACCTCTGATTAGATGTTACAGATATTTAGTTCAATTCGAATTAATTAACATTTAATCAAAAGAGAAAGGTAATTATCAAAATGTTGAAATATTTCAATAGTTTTTTTAAGAGTAATATTCTGTTTTTTTTTCTAACGGACGACTTACTAATAAGTTGTCTTTCCTTTATATACAGCTATATGAAAAATATATTTCTTTACTCAGTTGAGATACACTTCTTGTATGAACATACTTAATTTCGCCATTGCACTAAAATTCCACATTACCTCTAAGAGAGAGAAGATGCCCTTCAGTATCAGAATATCGAAGACACATTGATATATATTCTCCTTGAAAGAAAGAAAAATAAATGTAAAACATTTTCGATTATTCTGATTTCAATGTGACATAATTGAAGTGATGTCATGAGTAGTTAGATATTAATAGTGAAATAAATATTTACTGGCTTGTGCGAAAAATTTTCTGTCAAAATATTTTACTAATTCATTAAAATTATCCTTATTTATGTACAAATGAAGAAAAAAAAAGAAGTCATATCATTTCTTTGTTGTTGTCAAAGTTAAAAAGTCGAATAAATACTATTTCATCATTTAACCCTCATATCATTACATATGGAATAGTAGTCTGGTTCCCACCTGGGGTCTGCACGGATCCCAGGTGATGATATGAGAGCTAATAAAATCATAGTATTGATGTCTCTCAGAGTGTTTATTTGAGTCGTTAGATGACAAAAAAAAGGAAAATACATCGAATTGATTGTAGAGATTCATTATCAATAACTCTAAAAGTATCTGTTTAGGAGCAAAAAAGAAAGAATGACTTGTTCATATCTGGATCAATAAGCTAAACCATGATTAAAATCAAAATCACCATCTGTCATATTATTCACTGTTTCACATTCTTCTTCCATACGCCCATGAACATCCGCAACAGTACGAGCATTTTCTCTAGACATATGAAGAAATGGCTGATGAAATGTATCTTCTTCAGTAGCGACCGACGAAATCACATGTGACAGAATATGTGGAGCATCTGTTAACAACATATATTCACCTCCTAATATAATGAACCAAAATTGGGTGTGGGTGTGGGTGTGGGTGTGGGTGTGGGTGTGGGTGGGTGTGGGTGTGGGTGTGGGTGTGGGGTGTGGGTGTGGGTGTGGGTGTGGGTGGGTGTGAGTGTGGGTGTCAGCGAAGCTTTTAGTAATCT